CACTCAATATATGTTCTCTAGGCCTTTTAGAAAGGTAGCAAATGTTACCATGGCAAAACTGGAAGAGTCTACAATGTTACCCAGCATGCTGCTGGCATTGTTGTAAACACAATCAAATTAAGGGCAAGATTCTTGCCAAGAGAATTAATGTGCATATTGAGAATAGTATGCATTCTAAGAGCAGAGATAACTTCCTAAAGGGTGTGAAGGAAAATGACCAGAAAAAGAAGAAAGCAAAGAGAAAGGGACCTGGGTTCCACTGAAGCGCCAGCCTGCTCCACTCAGAGAAGTACATTTGGTGAGAACCAATGGAAAGGAGCCTGAGTTTCTGGGACCTATTCCCTATGAATTCATGGCATGATGGGTGTTAAAAATAAACTAAACTATGGTCTATAAAAGAAAAAGAGAGAAAGAAAAAGACCATTTGATGAAAACAGTCCCAAATATAAACATTTTGTCGCGTCTCCAATTTAAAAAATCATTATCAAAAGAGCTGTTTTCTTAAAAATGAGAAAAGATTAGCAGTGCCATATAATTACCAACTATATGGATTACACATAATTATACTACAAATTAAAGTCATAGTTATCACAGATAGAGAAAGAAAATTATTCGGATCTTTGCTGGGTTTATTATTACTCCAAAAAGCCTGCAAGATAACGATTCAGTTTGGAGTAATGCTATACGTGGTCTTTAACGGTGCTGGTGGTGTGGTTATCGTTCCATTTTCTTTTCTTAAGCCATCTGAAATTGGTGTTATGGTCAAATCAAGGAGAATCGTATTTCTTGGGATTGACAACATGGTAAATTGATTTCACACTTCCTGCAGAACAAAGCTAACATATATAACAAGAATGATAAAAAATCATTCAAAATCCAGACCAAGCTGTTGGAAAACTAAGCATCGTGCCATGATGAGAAGCATTTATCATTACACTCCCCGGTCTATGGGCCAGCTGGTTAGCTCTCTTGTCACCCGCAGGCCTTCTGGCCAGCTGGGGAGCTCTACTCCCGAAGTCCTTCGACCTTCTCAACTCTCGGGGACAGAAGCACACCCAAGGTCATCTAGCCTTTGTTTGCATCATCCCCACTAATATCCTGTTGGTCAAAGTAGTTGAATGGCCACAGCCAAGTCAAGAGGCAAGAAAGAAGCACAAGGCACCCTGAGGTCAAGGGTAATAGGTTAAACCCCATCGTACTGGACTGAACAACTGGACCCGACAACTTGATCTACCACCCACAGTAATCCCATTTGGAAAAAAAAAATGCATCCTAGAAACAACAAAGGAACACATTTTAATTTGATCCAGTGGAACAAACACTTAGAAACTAATCTACTCCAGGAGCACCAGCATGAGCTGCTAGGACACTGTGCTTCACAGGCTGGGACCACATGAAGGCCTAGGTTTGAGCCTGAGTCCATTCTGAAGGCCATGGTGGCTGTGCAGCACTGTAGTCCTAGCAGGAAGATCCTGACAGGGCAGCACTCTGAAAAAGAGAGAGGAGGGGCCAGCCAGTGGCATGGTGGTTAAGGCAACTGGATCCAAGAGGCCGACTCTGCAGTTCAAGTCTCAGACCTGGCAGCTTGAAGAACATGCTGGGCACATGTACATGCATGCTCCAAATCACAAGAGGGCAATGGAGGAGAAGAAATTGCAGCTTGGGGAGTGATTTCTCACTCCCTCCCCCCACTCTTTCTCTGGGAAACACACATGCTGTATCACAAAACTTTAAAAAGAAAAAAGAAGGGAAGGGCAGAAGGCAGAAAAAAAAAAAAATACTCATGCAGGAGAAAAAAAAATACTTCCAGATCAGGTGATAGCCTGGCTGGACTCACATGGAAAGGTTCCAGGTTCACATCCCAGGACCTCCCTGAGCACACTCCCTGAGTGTACACGTGTGCCCATGATCCAGGCTGGCTGACACTGGGGGTGGGTGACAGTAGGATAGGGACTCTGTTAGGGATTCCTATCTCTCTGTCTCTCTCTGCCTCTCTCTCTCTTTCTCTCTCTCATGGAAGAAATAAGTAAATTGTTTTAAAAAGAAAATATTCCCTAAGTATAGTTTCAGAGAGTCAAATATTGAACACAGTCAAGTCTCTACCCTTAGGGTGCAGGAGATAAATTCATACCCAATAAAGTAAAAGAACATTTGAAATAAGTTTTAAAATAGAGATCTTAGCAATATCCTGTGGCTGTACCAAAGAAGCCATGAGTAGCATGTGGGTAGGTGGAGACATTGGAATCCTAGACAGAGACAACAGCATTGGGGCCAGCAGGCAGCATGGTGGTTGAGGGCTCTGGATTCCCACATGGCCGATTGTGGTTTGAGTCCCAAACCTGGCAACTTTTTTTCCTCCCTTTCTCTCTCTCTGTTTCTCTCTGGTAAAATTAATAATAATAATAACAACAACAACAAATCTAAATAAATGAATAAGTAATTCTTAAAAAAAAAAAACTTAAAACATGTAGCTGTTCCTTTGGTGACATACATGAGAATTTATGTATGTAAGGTAATATCATAGATAGCAAGGGAATGAGGAGGGATCAAAAGGAACGTCCACAAATGTTACCATGGCCAAACTGGAAACGTCTGCAACACTATGCAACATGCTGTCAGCACTGTTGTAAACAAACCGATAAGGCAAGATTTTTGGCAAGAGAATTAATGTGTATATTGAGCATATTAAGCATTCTAGGAGCAGATGTAATTTGCTGAAATGTGTGAAGGAAAATTATCAGGGAAAAAAAAAAAAAAAAGAAAGAAAGAAACCAAAGAGAAAAGCTCCTGGGGTCAACTGAAGCTCTG